AATATCAGGTGGGAGAATGTGATACCAGTAGTGACGCATACAAGGGAAGCTTACAAGGATAGAAGTCTCTTTAAAATATTTTAGATCATTTACATAAATTTGGTATTTTTTTATATATGGACTATGGACTTTGTATTAGTTTGTAAAAACTGTTCTTAAATGAGGCTCTGTGCATACTCCTGAATATCCAGTGACCATATCATTCAACCATAGTGAAATAATAAAAGATAAAATTGTGGAGGTAGTGGATATTATTGATTACGAAGGACATAGGTAATAATTTTGAGTTTAAATTAAATTTTCCCAGATCAAAAGAAAGTAGATTATGTATCTCATACAAACATTTTTTATGAAGTTACATACTTATTAATTTAAATTTCTTATTTATCGTTTCGATATCACACAGAAGAGAAATTTAAAACAAATAATCTAGTTTTGAATGGCGAAATAGAAGTACTTAATTCACTTCAGGTCATACTTAATAATAATCGAAAAATTGGCCCTTAATATTTAATTTATTTATAATTTCACTTTGTCTATCCCAAAAAGGATGAAGAGATGAGCAGCGATAAAAACCTTGAAGTCAAGGTGATGCCTTTTTAAGCACTTTTTAAGTACAGCAAAATTCGCTCAAACGCCTCCATGCCTCCACGGCTCCACGGCTTTTCTCGAATGTTTCTCAGTACATCAACTTAATGTATCTTCATTATTAAAGATTATTAACTTAAGAAACACAAAAAAAAATCTAAATTACAAATACATACATTCGAGTCTGTTTTCATTAAGTAAAATAGATAAAAACCATTTCTTGAGTGAGGTTGAGTAAAAATTTTGGGAATTTAATCATTTCACCCAACAAATACGCCCAAAGTGCAAAGTGTTTGTATCCCAGGGTATGCGGAAAATATTTTAAAAATTTTCTAAAAATAGTAACGAACCAATAATTTTGTAAAATTTATGAATGAAACTTTTAATTTACTCAGCGCTCAACAAACTTTCACCTCAAAGGACCTTAAGTACTAACAATCAGTTATTCTGTGTCCGTTGAGAAGTATTTCTCCAAAAGTGAAAGAAAATTTTTGCAGAAATTTAAAAAAATTGATTTATGAGATATGTATGTTCCAGAGTACATATATATTTAAGTACTTAGATGCAATATCTGAAGTCAACTGTATGTTATTAAAAAGTAACTTGTATCATATTACCAAAGGTTAATGGTATACGCACTCTTTAATTGAGTGCCTTAACAATGTTCGTATGAACAAACTCAACTATAATTATTGTCTAGACCTTTTAAAAAGATACCACGGCATTTATAAAATTTTCTTCGCTTCAACTTCAACTTTACTTCATTGACCAATAACGTGTATAATTACTGCATCTGAGCTCGACTGTTTTACTTTACAATTATATAAAAATACTATAAAATATATTTCAATTTTGAAGTTAAAAATATAAAGCGTTAGCAAAAAGACGAGAGAATCAACTTTGCTTAAAAAAAGATAAAAAGAAGATAAAAGTCTTAGGACGCATTAGTCTTCGTCACCAGCGGTGAACACTTTCGAAACATGCCAAATCCACAGAATTTTTAACAGAACCAAATCTTGGCAATAAACACAGGAGGTGATTAAAGTAACCGCTGCCGATGGGACGATGTTGGGTAAGCAAGAAACTTTTGGAATCAACTTATCCTGAAGCACATTTCTATTTTTAAGCTTTGATAAAAATTAGGTTGCGAAAAACCAAATTAACAAAAATGTTAAATGAAATTGAAATTCTCCATTGAACAGAGCTGCCATTAGAGCCTTTTTGTGATTATCATGGCCTTTGCCTAATATATAGAGACCGTAGCAAGGCTCAATTAAGCAGAATAATCGATTGGTATTGCAAATGGTCATATATCGATCTCTAACGAATCATACTTTACAGAGATTACTACCGACTACATTAGTTCGATAATCACATTTGGCAGAATTTCCAGCTATCATTCCTGCTGTTATATAGTAACATAATCTCACTAGTCGCTTCGACACAAAGTGGCAAAGTGAGATACGAAAATAAATTTAGGTAATATTACTCCATGCCATTGGATATTAGCAAATTATATCATTTACTTACTTAGTTGGGGCTTACTAAAAGTGAGTCGTCCTTAGCTGCATGCAGTAGCCTCCTCCAGCCAGTCCGATCAGTGGCTTGCAGTAGTCAATGCCTTCATATAGTAAACTTTATACATGTGACAAATTCACGGATTCGGATTCGACAGGCCGCAATCAAAGAGCACTGTTTAATAGAAATCCATATCAAGTGCCTTCGAGGTTACACGCAATTAATTTCTCAAGGTATTTATATTCAATGACTATTTCCACCTAAATTTCCCCGAACTTTTACTGAAAATCATCTTAAAATCATCTTAGATTTATTTAAATATGCGATAATACCCCATTGTGAACAACACCTAAACAGATCATCCATCATAATTTGCAATAATCAGGTGAGTTCACGAGCAGAAGCACTTCATCAGCATACAAACGCGCTTTTATATGAATTGAAATGATAGGTACTCAACGCGTCAAAGAGTCATGTAGAACATTTAATTGTATAGAGAACAAAATCGGGCTGAACAGGCATCCTTGTTTTACACCTTGAGTGACTTTAAACGAAGAAGACAGTTCGAGTCAAAAACTTGCGAGACGAA